CTATTCTTTTACGAACGAATAGTGGGATTGACCGTCACATTATAACACCTTCATGGCTGATTTGGTAGAACGGGAATTCGAACCCGCAAGTCACAGATTGCGATTCGAGGGCCCTAATCACCTGGCCATGCCAGGCCTCTACCATTCTTTGAGCATCCTTAACTGTGTATATCATATTGTATTATATTATATTATAAATACATATATAAACGATGAAAAGAACCCTGAAATGTTATGCTATCACAGTAAGAGGGTAGTTAATCTAAATTCACAAGATTTAAACTATTCTACAATTTACATTTATCCAATAAAAGACTTATTTGGGAACAGAATCTAAAACTCATTTAAAATCAAAGTAATTTCAGCTCAGGATACTCATCTTGTACCCTTTGTTGAACCAATGTACTCTTCTTCCTTTGTTGAATATTTGTGCAAAGCTACTCTAGGACTAATTGCGCTAATTTTGAAGCGATAGATTAGAGGGAAGGCAGCTAATCAACACTACCCACCGTCAACCCTTGGGTTGTTCTTATTACCAACGAAACGGGCGAGCATGATTGATGAAAGGATTCAAACTCGCGATCCACAGGTTGCGAGTCGAGTGCCCTAGCCACCAGATCATGCCAGGTTCTAACATAGTAGTAAGCTCACATTGTCTGTGGTGGTTTGGATGAGCTAATAAATATCTGCGCTAACAGTTCGAATCGTCCTCTTCAAATTACTTACAGAAGATGAAATTCGTTACACTGATCTAAATTAATCGTCATTTGTTTTGAAACTTCTATGTAAAAATAGGGGGAAAATCAACATTAATCTAAAATCATTTTCTTAATTTTTACGTATATTTCAATAGAGATAAAACAAATATATATACCTGCATAGTCGCTTGAAGAGTACGTGATAACTCTCAGTTCCATGCTTGATTCCACGCAAGATTGCCATTGGTGTATCGGCATTAATGTCATCGTCAAATATCATGGTATTCAAATTCTTCACGGTAATCCATCGGAAAATTGCTCTACGGACGTTCAATTTTGGTTATTATGAATTATAGTATAAAGCTACCATGTGGATATTATTGTTAATATTACTTTAAAAGCCTAGTTTAGTGAGAGAGCACAGTAATACTGAAGTACAGAAGTTCTTGTTTCTACACTGTTCACTAAGGTGGAATCCACGTATTACATCATATTTAGGAATTTTACGTTTTTTTTTATCTATTACAATATTCCGCGTAAAGAACACAGAAAAAGGTGGGGTTGGGGTGAAGTTACTCATTCTTTATATGAAATACACAGGGGATCTCAGTAGCAATTTTATTTAAACTTTTGTGTACTAGTCGTGTGCTAGAAGGGACCCTTATCATTCACAATGTTATGGACCCATGAGGAATTTGGTGCATAATTAGGAATAAAAAAACCCGATGGGGTCCAGTTTCGTGATCGGCATTTTGGTCTTAATATACCAGGGAGGGTCAGATACAAAAGACCTCTTCCTCCTTGATACAGATGAATGATGATGTAGATACGACATGGGGGTGGGAGTAAACCGCACTTGCTCCATATGGCTTTGTTTGTTTGTTTGTTTTGAATTTGGCGCTAAGCTACTCGAGAGCTATCTGTGCTTATTTTGAAGTGATAGTCTAGAGGGAAGACAATTAGTTCAAACCGTCCACCACCAACTCTTGTGCTAGTTTTTACTAATAAATATGGATATTGATCATTACATTATAATGCTCCCACAGCTGAAGAGGCGAGCACGTTCGGTGATGGAATTCAAACCCGTGACACTTAGATTGAGAGTCGAGTGGCATAATCACCAGTGGATAGGGTTAATAGGATAACACTAGCAAAACACATACGGACACTCAGCTGAGGGTACAATTTTACTTATTGAATCTGAAAGTTAAGGTCACGTTATGAACGACTTCTTTACAGCCCATAATTACACAAAATTTTTGATTGCTTATTACTTACAGAGACACAAATCATTTCCATAATCTTTACTTTCTACCATTGCAACCAAACCCTTTGAACCTGTTTTAACATAAACCTCCCATAATGCAACTGACTAAAAGTACATCTTCAGCAAAAAATAATCCACTTCCGTGATATTGTTATGATCCAAATTTACTTATATCGTTTGATGAAAAAAAACTCTTCATGACCTAATAAAAAGAATCTCTACCATACCATATCAGTTTACAAGCAAAAGTTGAAGTTAATCTGTCAATTTAAATTATTTCATGGACTTTAAAAAGGTTAATTGTGTTGCACTATTAGTTTCACTCAGAGCCAAAGCTCTGAGCTACTTATACCGTCCACCGCGAAAAGTAATTGTTGAACATTTCAGTCATGCTTAAGAGCTAAGAGCCGCTCAACAATAACATACGGTAAATCTACATTTTTATTATTTAAATTATCTCACGTTTTGAAATGTGAATGATAGTGTGATTAATTCCTAACAATCTAGTGTAGAATATCCTGCTTGCGAAATAAAACTTGACATTAATATTATTCATGTCTGTTCTCCCATCATTTCAAAAGTGAATGTTGAGCTTTGCCTGCGTGCGCAGATTATCAAACGCAGCGCGAGAAGCAGCTGCCGTAAAAGGGGAGACAGACGAACGCTCGGACAGACACCACGGTTCGCAATATATATAAGATCTAAAGTAAAAACATAACAAATATTTTGTATTTTGCTACTAGATGTCTTCCCTGTTAAAAATATCCAAAAACAAGATATCCATCCGACTTCACTATCCTTTGCTAATCGGTTAAATTTGCCAAAATTAAACTCTCATTGAAAAAAAAATAAGACATGCTGTAATATTGGATCAATAACATTTCAGTGCCGCCATCTAGTGCACTTTAACGTCATTTCATTGTTTTCTGTAAGTAAACACATGCCCAAATTTAGTTTCAATTACCTTTTTAAAAGACCTACTAAAATTCACAAGCATTGTGCCCTTTAGACAAAAATCATTGTGAACTTTAGCAACATTTTTCGGGGGGTATTTGATGAGAAATTAATAGTTGTACAAAAATTAACATGATCCTGTGTTAACATAAGTCAGCGATAGTGGTCAAACAAATCATTACCAAACTACAAGTAGATGATTATTTTATAACGCAAACAACCCTTTTTTACTGCTGTTATCCTGGCGCAAAGTTACTCAATGGGCTATCAGCGTTTCGTCCACCATGTGGAATCGAACCTCGGATTTTAGAATTTCAAGACAATTTTTAAAGAGGAATAAAACGGAAGATGAGAATAAAATACAATAGTGCCAGAATGCTATAGTAACTACTCAATTCGCTTTGCACTAATCCAAATACATTTATTTTTGTAATATATTTTATAACTTACATATTCCATACTGAATCGGGTCATTTTTATAATGAAAAATATTTGCAAGTCAAGAAATATTTTTTGAAGCAATCACTTTGGAATTCTGGTTTGTTTTTTTGTTTTTTCAAAATTTATGTTAAAAACACATTTCTAGAAACCTTAACTTCATATAGTAAGTAATAACTTTAACTTTTGTTTTACCTAGCTTTTTCTACATCAGTGACACACTGGCCAATAAGAAGTCTCACCAAATCTGTGAAAGTCACCTGATCCTCTTGCGCCACCTAAAGTGAAAAGTAGTTAAAAAGAGCTTAAGTTTATCTGACATTTGTATTTAAAAGATTTGATGAAATGCATTGAATTTTCATTATTTTACAATGTCAATGAGTCTACTATACATACTAAGCTTAAAAACCAAGTGGTACGCACGTTTATAGCAACTTGATCCAATTCGGCAAAGACCACAGGATCGTTGTAGATATCAGATTTAGAAAGCTGAGGGGGACTTGGTGGTGGAGTGTGTGTGGGGTACGGAACTAACTCCTCTGTGACGTTGCTCTCTCTGTCAGAGTACAGACTCTCCCTCTACAGAAAAAAAAAACGTCCTTGAAAACTATCCAAGGAAAGCACCAGTAGTCTCAAGAAATGTAAACATGATGTTGCACTGCTTGAATAAACATAAATATAAAAACAGTACAAAAATAGCTTAGAAAATGGGAAGTGATATTAAAACCATACACCTTCCACACAATTCAGGCGTTTTCAGAAAATGTATGAGCTCAAGACATTTTTCTAAACTTCGAGCTTACCATTTAAGTTACATAAAACAAGACGGTAATCCATTATTTCATCCAGCAATTAATTGAGTAATTTTAGACTATTCCATAACAGTAGGAACAAACAAAGTTTATCAGATTTAACAAAACTCAATACTAAAAAACTAGGTTAAATATATCAGTCAGACATCAATCTGAAAGGGGAGTTTTGAGTTATATTTTCTCAAGCCTAGAATTCATTCAATCTGGCGATATAAATAATATCCATGCCAGCAAACCAACGAATGACAACTTATGTGTGTAAAACATAACAGAAATTATCCGCTTGCAAAGTTTATTACAAGAGGTTAAAACATATTGGTCAGTGCAACAAAGTTGTAAATTAACAATGGCGAAAAGGTTGTATTTTTGTTGGTAATTCTAAACATTACTCTTACATAGAAAATGTTTTATACAAAAGCAAGGGCGCCCACAGAAATATTTTCGGGGGGGGGGGCAAAACATGTATGTAGGAGATCAGTTTTTACATTGTAAGTCAACACACTAAAAGAACGTGTGTTGCGTGTGCTTAAACGCAAACACAAATTATAGTTTTGATAAAAAAATACTAAAAATATTTATTAGTTTAACTACGATGTTAGGTTTACATCATAAAACGTGCAATTTTTTGTGAAATGTAAGGGGGTAAATGCACCCTCTTGCCCCTTCCTGCGGGCGTCCATGCACAAAAGCTAATGGACATTGAAGGAGTAACTTCGGTATTTTATAGTCAGCTTTTTCAGAAATTACATTTAAATGCTTTTCGTGTCATGAAAATCTTTTGGCGTATTAATCTAAGTTTTACTTTTGAGCTTAGATTTTTTACCTCTATTTATGAGACGTTAATCCAGTTTCTTTTCGTTACAATATTTAAACACGTACTATAGCTCCGATGTTTTTTAAGTTAATCAGATTTTTGGATATATGTTTTAGTTAGCTTTTACAGGTGACGTTGTTAAATCTTCAGAGTCGCTTGATTTAGTTTTTCAAAAGTCTGTCACAGAATGACTATTGGATAACACTTGCGGGTAGCAGACAGATCATGAGCTCAGTTTATAGATTTACCAAAGTATAATAGAATTTATTTTATATCAAGAATTTTGAGTAAGAGAAGTTAGGACATTCCTATTAAGGTGTAGATGGAATGTTGTTATTAGTGATTTAGAATTATTCTAATTACGAGCTGGAGAAAGAGAAAGTTAAAAACCTGTTAGAAAGTTAATAAAAAAAGTTTGGTATGTCTAAATGTCATGACATAGCTTCGAATTCCAAGGGACACTGCTTAGTTTCAAATAGAACATTTAAGGAACACTGAGTTGGTTTTTAATTAGAACAAAATACAAGTATGGTTTCTAAATCAATGGGGATAGTTTTACAGATAGATTTAGATTTGGGTGGTCAAAAACATTAGAACGATTCTTCAGGATCTCCTACGTGAGTCAGTCAAAATGCGGTAATTTTAAAAGAGTTTCATACAGGTAAAGTGGGTAACAGAAATTGTTGTCATTTAATAACACGTCATAAACACAGTTTCACAATGACTGGTTCAGCTATAAAGTAATAGTAAGCACAAAAAAAGTGGGCTACTATAATATACAAGCCTACACCAACATACCCTTTCCAGTTCGACTCGCTTTTGGTTAATAAGGTTTATCATCTCTTTGCTGTGTTTGTCCACCAGGTCAGCAGTTGCTGCACGTTCCTGCTCCAGAAGCTTTCTCGTCATAGATTCTTTCTTCCTGTCAAGTTTGACTGTCATGTTTTTCTCGAGGTCTCGTTTTTCCTTTTGCTGCTTGAGAGTTAGCGCTTTTTCTTCTTCGTTCGAAATTTTCTTTTTCTTCGTTCTCAGTTCCACTTGAAAGCGACTTGTCAGCTTTTCCAGCTCTTTTTCCCATTCTTGCTGATTACCCAAACATGAATAATAAAGCTTATATTTCGTTTAATTCTTAGCATCACTTCTTACTGACAAAGTGTTACTAGCATTCGTATAAATTTATTCACATATCTCTTAATCTTGGATGTTGAACAAAGAAAATACAAACTCGAAATGTCAAATGGTAAACAGACAGATAAGGGGAATCATGTTTTCAGGAATGATTGGTCAACTATGCCTAGAACATCATCAACTGTAGAATTTCGCGCAAAGCTACACGAGGGCTATCTGCGCTAGCCGTCCCTAATTTAGCGGTAAAAGACTAGAGGGAAAGTAGCTGGTCATCACCACCCACCGCCAACTCTTCGGCTACTCTTTTACCAACAAATAGTGGGATTGATCGTCACATTAGAACGCCCCACGGCTAAAAGGGCGAGCATGTTTGGTAGGACGGGAATTCGAACCCGCGACCCTCAGATTGCGAGTCAACAATATGATGGAAGATAGCTTCCCAAACTCAAACAAACTAAACATATAATAAATCAAACAATAGTTCTGGAGTTAGGTAAGTACTTCAGTACATTTCTTAATTTATAATTTTTCTTAACATAATAAACTCTTTTGTTACTAATAAGATTTCGTAATCAATTGTAAAATAAAATCTGTCCTCGATAATAACTATTTATATGAACTTGGCATAACTTTTATATAGTTTGTAATTGGAATGGTAGCTGATGCTCTAATACATTTATATACAAAACATTAATTCTGCTCACCAGTTTCATAACTCTAATCCATAAAAAAATTTTGTAGAGGATTAAAGTTGCGAAAATCAAAATTAATTTATAATTTCTTCTATAACGTACTTGTATTGCATGGTTAATATGCGTTTCTTCTTCTGCTCTCTTTTTCGCAAATTGCCGATAGAGGGCGTCTTCTTCAGCTCTATGTCTCATTTCCAAACCTTTCTGTGTGTCTTCGTCCTGCACATAAAATTACAAAATATGTTACTGGGGAATTCAACTAACTTCATTCTTTATTCCTGTAATATGACTACAACTGATAAAAAAGAAAGGTGTGAATATACAATTTAACTGTATGAGAAGAAAAAACTTCTGTGAAGTGGCTTGTTCACATAAAAAAGTGGCAAATGTAAAGATTACAGGCTTAAATACGTTCTCCACTTATCTGCTTCTAATTAAGAACAAAGATACACCATAGACTATCTGTACTGTAACCATCACGGGTATCGAAACCCGATTTTTGGCGTTACTTGTCCGCTGACATACCACTGAGCCAGTGAGGGGCAAAAAGTGCCTAAAAACGTTTCATTATGAAAACTGAAAAGAATATCTTTGATCATGTTAGCATAATGATAAATATCAATTTTAAAAAGAAGGATATGTCGGCTTTCCTATTTTGAGATATTTTATTGTGTACGTTGCTGCCGGGAGTATCTTAGAACAGCCAGGAATGGTGCAGCTTTTTCGCTTTATTTCGTGTTTAACTTCACCTTTACATTTATGTTGAATAAGCAGGCTAACCGGTTCCAACTGCATCTGGACAATGACGTCACAGCAAGTTTGAGATGCATTGTAAATATGTATCAGTATACCACGTTGGAATACCATGTCATGTTCTGCATTTATCTCGACGTAGTGCCACAAACTTAAACTTACTCTCATTGGTTTGACAGATGAAATTTCTGAATGAATGATTTAGTCGTCTTTGGGGGGGGGGGGAGGATGAAGGATTTTGTTTGAGCTAAAACAAGTATCTGTTTGAGTCCTAAATACTTAATAAACATTCCAACTACAAGTTCATATGTTGTGTATAGCGTATATTGTAAGGTGTCGTAAAAGACACTGTGATAATGTTATGTCCAAGGCATTCTTTCTGAAGTCTAGTTCCAAACTTATGCAATAAATGTGGTGTACAAAAGGATAGCTAACAAATATTTATAAAATTATTATATAATGCTTTAACAGTAAAACTTGATACCCATGCATACAAGAAATGCGTATGTCTAAAACAAAGAATTCAAATATGTTAAATATGAACAATGCATTGAATTTACTTAAAATGTTCATGCTCCGGTTTGGTAAGACATCGTTATGTAAGGTTATTTGGTAAAGTTTATAAAGAAAAAGACTTAAATGTTGAAGAAAATGGTACAATACATACGGCACGGGAAATAATTGTGAAACCTAGTGTAATTACATTACCAACTGTTTAAAGAAAACGTCATTTATTTTGCATAAATCTCCAACTATTGTGTAATTTATATTTCTGAGGCCCCTCAGTGGCATAGCGGTATGTCTGCGGACTTACAACGCTAAAAACCGGGTTTCGATACCCGTGATGGGCAGAGTACAGATAGCCCATTGTGTAGCTTTGTGCTTAACTTCAGACAAACAAACATTTCTGAGAACAATTGGCAGATAATCACTTTTATTGTATTTTACGTGTATTTATGAACATTTACTTATTTTCATTTTGTTCTTCTTTTCATAACAAATGTTACAAAGAGCTACTGCCACACCCAAGCTATATTCCACGTCACTGTGAACTTTGCCACGTGATTTTCACGAGAAGTAAGAGGTCGCTAAGGTACTAAAATAATAATCAAAACTCGTTGATCACTCAATGAATATATTTCGAGCGAAATTACTTATTTTTATTACTTTATTTTTCGAACATTGCGTAAATGAATACACATATGTGATATACACTACGACTGTTTGCGTCATTATTACGTCATCACCACAAAACCAATTCAAATTTATTAAAAACTCTGTATCCTTCCCATGATTCTTCTTCTCCTCTCACAAAAGTTTAATACTCATACATACATGTATCATGATTGATAACAAAGCCAGTTGAGTAAATTAGAAGCATAACATGCATAACGTAGTCAAATTGAAAATAACTCAATTTACAACCTTTGAAAGCAAAATAGCTTCTTGTCCTTATTTTTATATAAAAAAAAGGAAATAAATGGTACAACATACTTCGACGCCTCGTACGTTGTTGTAGTTGTTTTAGGTAAGACTTAGTAATAATTCAAGAAGCATTTTTAGTATTGCTTTAAAATTTTCAAAATAAATTGTTCATCGTGATACATGAAATATATCATCCACAGCCTAACACAATATGTTATATCTAGCTAGTGTAGATACAATATTTTATTGCCAAAGTCTTTCTCGAAGAAGATTAATTATGGACGATAATTACGATCAGGAAAGAGGAGACAGTCTTCTCTTAACATTTTCATAAACGTTTTTCAAAACGACCAATGTAACCAGCCCAATGTGTGGCACTCAGGTTCCACATGGGCGGTTTTCGTAATCGGGGTAAAAACAGTCAGTCTGTATATTTTTTTTAGCACAAAGCTACACGACAGGCTATCTGCGCTTTGTCTATCACGGGAACTCGAACTCTGGACTTTAGTGTTGTAAGTCCGTATACTTACAACTGATTCACTGAAAGATGCCAATTTGTAACGAGCCTTAAAAGTTCTCGCGTTCCACAAAGGCGTTTTTCAAAAGCTGAGGAGAGTGGGGGCGGGAAGGGAACAGGGCTTTCTTTTTCTCAACACTACACGGTCCTCTCTTCAGTGTATCGGTACATTCTACAGTGAATTTCAAAATTTAATTTTCCATCTAATTAATATGGTAAAGCAACTGTTTACAGTATACACAAGAGATTAGCCACAATGAAACAAAGATCCCTTCCTTAAGTTTTCATCCTTATCCATCTTCCCCCATGCAAGGGTTAAGTGACTGGTTTGGTGTGCACGCCTTTCACAAGTCGGCGAAAACTGATTACAGTTATAGTTGTCATAAGACATTGGTTTAATTGTAATGGTGTATTGGTTCTCAAATGATACACAGTTCTTCGCACAGAATACTCCTGTCACTATTCTGTCAGGATATTATTTGTCCAGATTTTAGGGCAACTGGATTATCTAATAGTTATGATATCCTTGCATTTGTCATTTTAATGCAAAATAATGGCACTGTTATTTGGAAGACTTTTAACTTGTTTTTGAAGCTATTGCTTATCATAATATACCAATGTTTGTTTGTTTGAAGTTAAGCACAAAGCTACACAATGGGCTATCTGTGCTCTGACCACCACGGGTATCGAAACCCGGTTTCTAGCGTTATGGGTCCACAGACATACCACTGGGGGGGGGGGGCTCAAAAAATGTCACTGCAACTTAGTTTTTTTTTCTTTTTCAATCAACTCTGGATACGTAAGTTGTTAGTATTGGTCGTATCAAAACGTTCAGATTTACCAATGGGGTGGGACAAATTGAACGCTTTCCCCCCAGGTGCACTAAACTCTCACTACATGATTTAACAGACTAAAACTTTGGCTTTCTATTGGTTCTAAGTAATATAATATTAAATGTCAGAGAGAACTATTGACAGGTGGCGCGACATTTATGTATCTCCCGGAATTGTAATTCAAAAAGTTGGTAAGCCTAACTATAAGGTGAACAGAATTTCTATAAAACAAAGTAATATATTTATTACAGGGGAGAAAATGACAATGTCTTTGAAGAAGAAGAAGAAGATAGTCGAAAAATACAAATTCAACGAACACTTTCGAGCGAAACATCCCAAAGATTGTGGAAAGAAGAACGTTCACTAGATGAAGAGAAAGAACAGTTAACTGAAAATACGCAATTCAAAACACAGGGGAAAGTAGAACCTGTTTCACATATCACTCAGTTGCTAAATAAAGTTGAACCAGGTAATTTCAAAGAAAAGAAATCTTTAGAAGTTCATTAGTCTGTAACAGTAGTGAGAATACTGAAATAGTGAAACTACAGAAACTGAATTCTTAACACTTAAGTGGTTTGTGACAGCAGTAAAAACAAAGCATCAACGCTACTGTGGTTATTCTGTAGTAGAATTATCGTATTATTTTATTATCATGCAGTTTGATTTAAAAAAAAAAAGAACAACTTTACTAGTCAACTTGTGACATTGTTTTATTTCTAGAACATGCTGAAGGTTATTGGCAAGTGACGTACGGGAGAAAACGAAGTGTGGATATAATATCGCCAATGAGAAAAAACAGTGAGGTTGTTATACAGCCAGGAAGAAAGTTTAGTGATGACAGTTCCCAATACGTAAGATATTTCACCATAGTTGACTTGTAGGTTTTAACCTGGATCAATGAATGAGTGTTGTTCTGCAAGACGTGATAACAAAAACTCGAATAAAAGACCGTGTTACAATGGAATTAGGCCTAATTTAATTGCAACAATAACAAAAACTTGAATGAAAGACCGTGTTACAATGGAATTAGGCCTAATTCAACTGTAACAATAACAAAAACTTGAATGAAAGACCGTGTTACAATGGAATTAGGCCTAATTCAACTGTAACACGGTTTCTACTGCCTGCGTCCGCCCGAAATGTTGCACAAAATATCATTATAAAAAGTTTTCATTTAGGGGGGGGTCAATTTATACTTCATTATCTTTCATCTAAGTTTTAGTCTCTAATCAGGGCGTTTTAAACTAAAAAACAAAATAAAAAACAACTTTTTATCAAGCTCACAAATATCCTAAAAAGCTTCATAAAGTTTTGGTTCAATTGTTTGTAGGGTTACGATGTAAAGAGCATTAAAATGGCTGATTAGAAGTTTTTGTTTAAGCGTTCTGATACCATTAATATTCAATTCAACTTTCATAGCTCACTTTTATGACATGAAATGCTATTGCATTATTAAAAATTACAAATATTTTGTTATTAACACAAGTTTTTAGTCCCCCGGTAGGACAGCGGTAGGTTTACGAACTTACAAAGCTAAAATTAGAAGTTCGATTCCCCGCGATAGCACAGCGGATAGCTCAATGTGACTTTGCTCTATAAACAAACAAACGCTAGTTTTTAATTCTGTATGATCCATAATAAAGTGTCTATAAACAAGTGTTTTTATTGATAAAATTGCTGGAAGAATCTTT